TGCACAGCAGGTGGGGAAGCTCCTGGAGAGGAGATGCCTGGTGATGAAGGGCTGGGACGGTGGCCAGCGAGCCCCTGAGCCCGGGGGTCACCAAGAAGAAGGCCCCAGCCTGGGTGCCCGTGAGGAAGGCAGGGTACACAGTCCTCAGGGGTGGAGCAGGGGCGGACATTTGTGAAACTGTTTTGTTCTTTTTGTTTTTTCCTGAAAAACAATAGGGCATCATACTTGTTAGGGTCTTAGCTAGACTTAGGCAGGACGCATAAAAGCTATTCAATTTTGACAACATAAACAGGGTCCTGTCCATGGTTACAAGTCCAGTGGACGGCAGGGAGAACTTTGGTGGGGATGTTGGAGTTGAAGAACTAAAGAGGAACCAACGAAAAGTGTGAGCTCGCTCTCCTGGCTCTCAAGCCCCCTAATCCCTGGGAGAAGCGTGATGGGGACTTAGAATTTCAGAGTTTGTGTGCACCTCGCACAAACCACACGGGGTGCAACTTGGAAGGAAGCTGCATAGGTTTTCAATGATAACAGTTGCCATGGGCTAAACCAGCTACAATGTGCCATTTGCCGCCAAAAGATAGCTTGTGCAGAATGATTCCCCCTTGAAGAACATCTAACTTTTCTATATGAAGATAACAAATATCTGTTGTCTCAGTTAATCCACACACATGATCTCCAGAATTCGCAAACAGCAGCTCTGAGGAAACAATCCATCCAGGTATTCTGGTAGTGGATGCAGAGAAGCACAAGGGTCTGAGCCCAGGCCCATCAGACTCCAGAGGCCCAGACGTGCAGCCTCCAGAGCAGGGCTCTGCTGGGGGCACAGGGGATTGAGAGCCAACGGCCTGGGATGGTGTGGACAGTCTGGGTGCTGAATCTCCTCGAATCCTTCCATGGCTGTCTTATAGCACTAAAAAGACTTTCCAGGAATTTGGGAACTTGGAGAAGCAACCCTGATTTCTTGGATTAAAGGGCAGTGGGATATTTTTGATAGGCTTAGAAATTTCTAGGTATATCTACCCCTAAATTATGTACATGGCTGTTGCCTATTAAATTTGCTTTTGTTGTTTTCAAATAGTAATGGTTTCATGTTTTTGTTTGTTTTTTTCCCTGAGTACACTATAACTAAATGAATACTAGGGAAAAATCATACAGACTTACGCTTCAATACACGTACTCTAAACATTGTTATAACATGCTTCCTTCATGTAATAAATCACAAACATCATGTTGAGGTCAAATATACATCTACGTCACTAATTTGATAGTCATCTATCATTTCATCCAGTAGCCAATACGTATAATTTTTT